CCCCCCCCCCCCCCGATAGCTAGCAGTCCAAAACAGTTCAGTGGAACCTGAGCGGTGGGCGTTGTCTTCTGACACTCTTCCGGTGATGTCAGGGGGTGTGGCACATGCAAATGAGTTATGCTAATGAGTTATGCTAATGAGCTCCTGCCCCTCTTTTTCTACGGAATGACCCCTGGACCTGGCAACCCTAATTACTAGCTCCCGGAACAAGGCTGGTCAGGCGAGGTTAACTGCTAGGTCACACCTTGAAAGCGGTGGTGAAGAATCTTGGGCAGATAGTGTGTAAGGAGAGCCAGGGCCAGGCGAAGTTAGCCGGAGCTTTCCAGCAGTGTAGCAATAAAAACCCTCTGAGCCACAAGTGGGTGTGAGAAGAGCCTTCCTTTTGAAGGGGAAGGGTGGAATGGCCCAGGCAGCTGCAGTCACCCAGCTTCCAGGCAGGGGTTGTTTCATAGAAAAAGAGGTAGGGGAACTCATTAGCATAACTCATTAGCATATGCCACACCCCCTGACATCAGGGGCCCGGCGGTGGACCTGCAAGGCCGGCGGGAGGGCGAGGAAGGCCCGCCAAGGCCCTCCCTGGCCCCAGGCAGGCAGGGGTGGGGAGAGGCGGGGAGGAAGCAACTTGCCCTCCCTCTTCTCCTGCCTCCTCCTGGCTGAATGAGGGCCGGAAGCAGGAGGCGGAGCTTCGTTGTGTGCCCCGCCCCCGTACCTCACCCGGGGGAACTGCGATCCCCCGCGATTCCCCCCGAATCGACCTCTGCTTCCAGGTAGCCCAGGAGGCAGCAAGGCTGGCGACAGCTGGCAATACTTAAAGGCGCCTCGGCCAAGGCTTCCAGAAGCTGAGGGGAAGGAGAGGGTCACAACTGGATGGCCACCATTTTGTCCTTTGCAACAGAGTCTGGGAGGAGAAGACAGACAGCCACTCAGGGGTGGGGGCAGCAGGTCCAGGAGAAAAGCAGGGCACGTTTGTCCAGGTCCCTCTTGCTACCTGGCTGGAAGGGCCGGAAGGAGGAGGAGGAGGAGGGTTACCAAGTACC